CATAAGTGCCAGCGCAGGTATATAAGGGCGCCGCCACCGCGAGGTGAGTTAGTTACGAGTTACAAGTCAGCAAGCTACAAGTAAAGTGAGCGGGGAATTGAGTTGCGAATAAGCAAGCTATAAGTTTAATTGTGTTAACAAGTAGTAAAGCGTTGTTATTGCTTTAACAAGTATTGTAAAGTGTTTTTACTGTATTAGCAAGTATTGTAAATTGTTTGTTGTACAATAAAGTTAATTGTACTACAATTTGGTCATCGTTAGCATTTATTTAACAATCCAGCGATACGAGCCCGAGTATATTTGGGAAATCCCTCAAGGTTTCGAGGATAATCGTAACAATATATTAATAAGCTAACATAAATTTTGTCTTCATTCGTTTGGCGATTCTACCGAACCGATTTCAAAACCAAGAACACCGTTGGAAAGGCATTTTTCCGTAGATGAGCAGAGTTTTTATGGTTTCACAATTGGTTGAAAATTAGGGCAGAAACCGTCGTTTAAACATTTTCGAATTGTGTATAGATGTTGCTGCAACATGTTCAATTTGACATGTTTCGCATGTTGTTTCACTTCACACTTGAAATTAAGCTTTGAAGTAAAGATAAATATGAAGATGAAGAAATAAATGATAACGATGAGGTCAAAAAAAAAAGAAAGGCAAAAGTGAAGATAAAGACGAAAATGGAGACAATGACAGATATATATGAATTAGGGTAACTGAAAGGGTAAGAAAATTTCTTGAATTTATAAAGTAAAACTTCTTTAGCGGCAGTTGGTTGGTTGGGAGTAAATTTTCAAGGTTTAGCGGTTTGAGAATAAAAACAAAAACAAAGATGCCTAGAGGTACAGGCAAAAACGAAGATCAAGGTAAATTTAAACACTTTAATGTAAAGGTGACGAGGAATATGCAAAAATAAAGATAAATATGAAGAAACGGATGAGGATGAAGATCGATATTGTTATCGATATAAAACTCGATATTTTTATCGATATAATAATTGATGTTATAGATAAAATAATCGATATTGTTATCGATACTCTTATTTATTAAATAACCGCAATTGTAATAGACATAATAATCAATATTGTTATCGATACATTAATGGATATTGTTATCGGTATAATAAACGATTAAATAATTTTGTTATCGATTTAGTAACTGATATTGTTGCCGATATGTATAATAATCGAAACTTATGATTGTTATATTTATCGATGAATTAATCGATTTTGCAATCGTTATATTTTTCTTTATAAATATCGATATAATATTCAGAACATGGAATGTGATCACATTAAATGACATCACATCACATTATATCACATGATGTGATGAGACATCACATGATATTACATCACATAATATGATATCACATCACACGATATCACGTGACATAACATCATATAATAAGACAACACATTATATGGCATGACATGATATGACATTGCATTACATGACGTGGCATCACATGATATGACATCATATGGTATGACATCATATGACATGACATCACAGGATATGACAGCACATGACATGACATCCTATCACATCACATAAAAAATAACGTCACATCTTATCACGTCATCACACCTCACCTCATCTACGTGAATAGATAAAGAAAAGGATAAAAGCAGAGATATGAAAGATAAAAACAAAGATGAAGACCAAGATAAATTTGCCGATTTCAAAACCAAAAATACCGCTGGAAAGGTAATTTTCTGTAGATGAGGAGTTTTATAGTTTCGAAATTGGTTGAAAATCGTCGTTTAAAAATTTTCATATTTGTGTATGGTTGTTTTTGCAGCCTGTTCAATTTAAGCTGTTTCGCATTTTGTTTTGCTTGGAAATGAAATCAAACTTTGAAATAAAGTTAAATATGAAGATGAGGAAACAAGTGGCAACGATGAAGACAAAAAAAGAAGGCAAAAGTGAAGATAAAGGCGAAAATGGAGATAAAGACAAATACATAGGAATTAGGGTAACTGAAGTGAAATTCTCCAATAGGAATCGAAATAAAATCAGCCATAAAAGTTACCGAAATTTATCTAATCATCGAAGTTTATAATTATCGAAATTTACCCATGCTTATTAAGTTATCGCAACGTATCGAATTATTCCAACTGATCAATGTTTACTGAGTTGCCGAAATTTATAGACACAGAAACTTAGTTCTCCAAATTTACGGATAGTTATCGAGCTATAAAAACGTGTGGGATTAACGAAATTTGTCAAGTTAAAGAAATGTATCAAGTTATCGATATTTATTGAATTATCATTATTTATAGACTTAACGAAATTTATCGAGGTGTCGTAATGCATGGAGTTCTTTCAACTTACAGAGTAATCGCTAATTATTGATCTACTGAAATTGGTTGGTTCAACGAAGCGTTTATGGAATTTTCAAAATATATCGATTTATCGAAATTTCAAGGTTATATAATCGTCTTAACAGAGTGTAACGAGTTATCAAAATGTTTAGATAGTTTTCGAAAAATGTGGTGATGTCAAAAGTAAAAATTTATAAAGGTATCCAAAGAATTTTCATTTTTGAGCTATCGAAATTTATCGAGCCGTCGAATTTCACAGTTATCGAAATTGGTCGAGTTAACGAATTTTGTTGAGTTATCGGATTTTAGTGTTTTTGAAATTCATCGAACTTCAGTGTTTTTAAAATCCATCGAATTCATCGAACTGGGGTCAAATCCAAGTCCTGCCGAAGTCCTCCTAAGATAAAAAAAAAATAGTTATGTTTTAGTTCCAAAGCAGAAGATGTTCCGGTACGTTAATTTGTACCGTATAAGTTTTGCTACGTGTTAAGTTAGAAAACCTCTCCAAGGCTCCTAAAAACTAGAAAAACTGTCGAATTTCGACAGTAACTGGCACTCTAGTTTCATTTAACATTCTACATCTCTTCCGTTCCCTAAGCAGAAGCGTTGGTGTGAGAAGACAGAAATTGAAGCGGTATGTGTCGGCGATAGAGGAACCTGATCGACCACCTGAAATCCAAAGGCAATGAATATTATAACTAATTTTTGTATGCGATATGGTAACTGCTTCGTAAGAGAATAAAACAATGTTGCTTGCCGCAAGGGGGGCCGGGATGTTTGGGCTACCCGCCGTACGGTAACTAAGTTAGGGGAAACTTGACGAAAGTTGACCGTACGGTGGTTTGAGATGACAATGCGAATACTAACCACTTCACTTCTTGGAAGACAGCCATCGTAATCAGAGCAGCTACCTCGTCATTCGGACACAATTACAAAGGTAACCTTGTAATCAACCTTGACAATAAAATCACAATTTTTAACTCCATATTTATTACACTGGTGTTTTGACTTTTCTTATTTTTCCATTAAAATTATAACAAATTCACCCCAGCGCGTTGCTTTATGTATTTCCTATTTTGCGCAAATAACTATTATTGTCGCGGAACCTACCAAAATGCAGTCTAGCCTACAAACCTACCAAATAACAAGAAAGAAAGTCTAAGTTCGGGCGGAGCCGAACATTAAATAACCGGCGCAAGTATTAAATATATGTTTTTCACCTTTCCGAAAGCTACCGTTACATGGTAAGCCGGGGTGTATCAATTTTGAGTAAATTAGCGTCCTTAAATTTCGAAATATTGAAGTTTCAAGCATTTCTAGAATTTACCGTTATACGGAAAGCGGCCTCAATTTTAGTCCGATTTCAATAATTTTTACTGTTTTCCTTTTATGTGGCAAGCACAACAGCCATACCGCCATAGTTTGGTACAAATTGGTAGAACGGTTACCGAGATACATATATGTGATGATAAGTGGGCGGTGCCACGCCCATTTTCCAAAATTTTATCATAAACGTATTTCCTGGTAAAGAATTGTTGCAGGCATCAATTATGAATAAATTAGCTTTAATATTTACTGATTTATCGAAGATTTCGTATTTCTCCAAATTACCGTTATATGGAATGTGGGCGTGGTTATTGTCCGAATAAAAATTTTCGGCCATTTGGTATGCTCTACCAAGGCCAGTAACTGTGCCAAGTTTGGAAGAAATTGGTGCAGCGGTTACCAAGATATACACATGTAACCATAAGTGGGCGTGGCTACGCCCATTTTCCAAAAATTTATAATATTCTAATTTGTCGTCTAAAAATTATTGTAAATATCAATTTTGAGTGAATAATCTTCAGTAGTTACTAAAATATCGCAGGTTTCGTATTTCTGAAAATTACCGTTATATGGGAGGTAGGCGTGGTTATTGTCCAATTTTGCCCATTTTCAATACCATCCGTCCTACGCCGGAAAAAAGTGCACGTACAAAGTTTCGTTAAGATATCTCAATTTTTACTCGAGTTATCGTGTGCACAGACGGACGGACGGACAGACAGTCAGTCACCGCTTAATCGATTTCTCTTTTCATTCTGATCATTTAAATATGTATACATTTGTCTATATCTATCTCGATTCGTTGTGCCTGTTACAAACAACCGTTATGTGAACAAAGTTATAATACCCTTGTGCACAAGTGCGCTCGGGTATAAAAAAAAAACCTACCAGTTGCTCTAAGACATTGTTGGGTATAACTAGTACACCCAGAAGAGCAGTCAAAAATAATCAATTCTCACATCTCTGGTGTAAAGTATAATAAAAACATAGTAGGCTTGTATCCACTTATGAGTTTAACTAAAGCTTTAATAGTACATCATATTTACAATCTAGTTTCATTGTTTTAATAACGTACGAGATTTCATTACTTTCTATTTGCATAAATATATTTTATATATGTAACTTAGTTACTTACATAAGTTTGTAGGCATGAGTGTATCGTCGCCTGGGTAAAAGATTGTCGTATGTTAATTTCGGCAGGTTGTGGGAAATCGCGATAGAAGTTTGGAATGCAATTTCTCAAAAACGCGAAGATAGGTTTTCTCCAAAGTCTCTGAAAATGTTACAAGTTCACAAAATTCTGAAATTATTTCATTTTTAATATTTATTGTTAATTAGGTTTGAGTTTATGACGGATTTTCTTTAGTAAAATTTTGTCGTAAGCGTCATTTGTCCACAAATTGGCAGCCACTTTGTATGAAAAACGCCAAAATGTGATCAACATTTCTATTAAATTGACGACACTTTTATTGATTAGTTTAATATGACTGCATCACTAACTAAATTTTTACTAAAATATCGAAAAAAATTTAGTCAATATCTCGGAAACTAAAGGAGATATCTAAAAACTGATAACACCAATCGAAATACGTTATTTCAAAACATATACGTAACTGCATCTAGAACTAAAAATCGTCAAAATTGCGCTTACGACAATCTTTTACCCAGGCGACGGTATGTATACATATATGCAGCCTACATTTGCTTTCTACAATATTTTCTTAAGTAAACAATTGTCAAAAGATGTCGTCCTCATGGACATATATTCGTATATATATATACATATGCACTTATGCATTTACATAAACATGCATTTTGGTTTTACATATTTTGTTCTCATTTAAACTTTTTTGTCGGTTGTATTCAAAAGGAGCTTACAGCCATTTATGTTTCCATTGTTTTGATTCAGTTACAATTTGTTGAAAAATGCTCGAATATTTATGTGCAATTTGCATTAATAGATATTTTTCTTAAAAAAACAAAATAACAAATATTTAGTTCTTAACAACAAATGTAAAGTTATCGTAAATCGCAAGATATTAAAAAGTGTGTCAAAATTGTCATATGTTAATGGTAGTGTGTCAGTTTTGAATCAGTCCCCAGCAAAAACTTTTAAGTTTTTGGAAAGTACTTATTTTTGTATCAACAGAGTAACGTATTACAAGCCGCCTCAAGACAATTTTCGCCTATCGCAAGAAATTTTACACTTATTCGATTACCTCCAATGACATGCACATGCTAAAGTAATGCATTGTGTAAACGAGAAGGTAAGCGGTTACTCTCGAAAAGTGCTTCCCCAATCGAGAGTAACCGCTTACCTTTTCGTTTACAGAATGCATTATTTTAACATGTGCATGTCATTGGAGGTAATCGAATAAATGTAAAATTTCTTGCCATTGCATTAGATGTAATGCGATGGATAAGCGGAAATTGTCTTGAGGCGACTTGTAATGCGTTACTCCATTGATACATAAATAAGTGGTTCCTAAAAATGAAAAGTTTTCGCTGGGTTGTAACTACGTACATGTGTGTGAGTGTATACAATTTAATATGTGCAGTATTTATAATCCATTTTGAGTGGAAGGCGATATGTTTCGCGAAGTAACAGTGAAGGCAACAATAATTATCAAATCCATCCAGTTCGAAAATAATAACACACGGGTAGTAGGCATCATTTTCGAGGCGGCATTGTGTTGAACAGCAGCTGGCAGCTCCCCTGAAAATAAAAAGGAGTTAAAAGAGTTATGTCACACTTTGCATCTGAATAAAAAAACAAATCAAACTAAAAAAACAGAAATTATTTTTTAAATAATTGGTTATTTTTAGGGTCCGACCGGTTCCAATTTTCTTCAGGTGCCGATGCCGATGCCGATTAATCGGCGTATGGGGAAAGAATCGGCCGGTGCCGATGCCGATTCCATAAAAAATTACAAATAAATATATTAATTCATAAAATCAGTTAATTTAACGGAGTTAAGAAAACAAAAGGAAACCAATAATTGAATTAATTGGCTTGTTATGCAACATTACATACACTTGTACATACATATATATGTATGTGTAAAACACTTTTTATATGGTGCTAAGCAAGAAATATGTAGGAACATAAAATTTTATTTTGTATTTTACTAAAATACACTCTTTTGCACTCAATGCATAAGAACTTATGTATATGCTAGGTATGTATGCACATTAGGGTGGTCCAAAAACAGTAAAGTCGGAATTGTAATGCTCTACCCCCTAGGATTGTTCTACATCGAAAAAAAGTAACCCCTATTTTTTTATTTTGAAATCAAAAAATATTTAGAGGTCGCTCAAAGCGTGAATTTTTATATGGGAAAAATAAAATTTTTCGTAGAAATGGTATAGATTTCTTGAAAATCAATATTTTTCAATCGGAAAACTCTGGTTCTCTTCAGGAGACTTCAAATAATAATACCCAATTGTTTATTTAACCATTTTTTAATAATAACGATTTTTTATTGGTCGTCCAATTGTATTTTTCGGGTTTTTGGCGGACCTATGAATTATAGTTCCGATCATGATACAAAAAAGAAGGTAGTTTCATTTAATGACATTCGTTGTTGTTGTTAACCATTTGACTTTTAATAAAATTATGACATTTCATTAAATTCATGCTACCTGATCACCAGCAGTAATATATTTTTTTTTAAGCAGAAGATTTCATCAGTCCACTCAAAGATGTCGAATATGATGAACCTGAAAATTAATGCATAGATAATTTCAAAAAGGGGGTTGACGAAACTAGGTTTCAGAACGGATGAAGAAAGTGATCAAAATTATACTTATGCTAATTGCTTATCGGAGGCCGGTCTGCGCAACCCGAATTCAAGTTTTTTGCATACATTGGAAATTTTAAATTCGAAGTTTGTTGAAGTTAATGGTGATACGCTAACCACAAAGCCTAATTTTTTGCAAAATCTGATGAGAAATTTAAAAGTAAATTTTCACGAATTTAATGTGAACAAATATTCCCAAAATTATAAACTAAAACAAAAATAATTTTTCCCAATTTGTTTTTGTTTTGCATGTTAAGTTATGAGAACAATTTATTCACATGGAATTGGCGATTACAAAAGGATTTATTTGGAAAGAGTATTCTTTAGAATTAGATTTTTAAATTGCAAGATTGCATACAAAATAAGAAAATGAAAAAATAACAACATAATGCTCTCGTGATTTTTATTATAAAATAAAAAGAACAATTTCAATGAAGTCTCCTTTAACATTACATATTTTATATATTTTTAATAAAAAAAGGTACGAACCACGTAAGTAAAAAAATTACCAAGCACTGATAATGATTTTTCATTTGATATATTATTAAACTGGTATAAATGTGGGAAAGAAAATACTCCGATTTATTGTTTTAATATTATAAAAGTGGTATGGCCGTTGAGAATGCTCACAATTTATGAAACTTCAAAAAATTTTATTATCCGTCAAAAGTTGTTTATTGAAACTACCTTCTTTTTGTATCATGGTTGCGATGAAAAAATTGTCAAATAAACAATTGGGTATTATAATTAGGAATCTCCTGCAGATAAACAGAGTTTTCTGGTTGAAAAATATTGATTTTTAACTATTCTATACCATTTCTACGAAAAGTTGTTTTTCCCCATATAAAATACATGAAAAACTTTGGGCGCTTTGAGCGACCTCTAAATATATAAGCATGGGCGTCGCTACGTAGGGGCAGGGGGGGCTCGAAGTTCGGTTGCCATATGCCTAAGTCGGCTCAGCTCGATGTTCTGGTCACATACATAAGTACACATTTTCATGAGTCTATCTCTTCTTATTCTGGTACTTACAAATATCGGACCAAAGTTATAATACCATTTCATGCTCATGAAAGGTACAGTTTTCAGATTTCAAATCGGTGAAGTAGGTAACAAAATATAAATTTAAACATTTTCTTAACTTCTTCCCAGCGTATCTATTAAAATGTCATTTTCAAAAACTTCATGCATTGCTATGGCATGTCATTCCATCTCAAACATACTGTTATAGCATGTCATTGCTTCTTAGCTCAGCTGTTGTTTGCTGTTGTGTTTCTGCAGCATATTTTTAATACTGTTTAATCCTGCCTTGTATGAAAATGTATATAGCAGGAGTGGGCAAGGCCGAGGCCGAAAAGCGCAACATCTAAGTTCTAAATGCTACAAAGAGCCACAAAAAAGAACAAGGAAAACTAAAATTTTATTTTCAAACTAGCAAATGCCTGGCAATACAAAAATGGGGTTGCTATGCAAAAACGGTTTGTAATGTAAAATTTATTAGTTCAGGTTGAAAGGACTAAAGAGCAGAACCTTGCTTACTCATAGGCCAAGAATAATAGCGCTGAGATAGCATTTGGGTTAAGTACTAATATTCCTCGATGATATGAGCTCTTATTTCCACCTGTGAGATATCTGTACGTATTGGAAGGTTTGCCAAGAGTGCGTAATCTTCTATAATCCTCCTGTTCCCAGGATGAAAGTTTACCCGTTCAAACGGGGTCATTGATATTCCAACCGTATTCTTCTTAATCATTGATATTCCTACCGTATTCTTTTTATCATAAAGTTAATACCCGTTACTCCTGGTCATACGATAAAGATGGGGTCTCTAAATATCTCGACTCCGGCGCCATCTGCCGGCACCATTTTTTGCGATGCAGAGCAAAATTTCAAATTCATGTGACGTAAGATTCCGAAGTTATAGCTGATTAAAAATGTCACGACTATGGGAGGTGCATCGCCCTTTGTCAGGTTTAATTTTTTTATACCCTAGGTTACATCCGAGGTCACTCTCTACCCATATACCAGTTAAAGCCCCATGAAAATCCATTCAGTAGTTCCGGAGATTAGTGAGTTCAAACAGACAAACAATCTACAGTTTTATTATTATTATTATTATTGGTTTATAAAACATATTCTGACAAACATATTCTGAGCGTTCAGAATATATGAGTCTGAAAGGAGTCCTAGGTGGGTAAGAAATATGAGCTTCAAAAACAAAAAATGTGTGACTCTTATATGAATATTTTAGGTGTTATAAATGATCGAAGTTAGGAGCCAGCACTTTGTGGCTATATAAAAACAATAAAGATTCGAAATTTATATCTAAACTTGTTTATACAGAAATTGAAAATATTTAGAAAACAAAAAATATACAAAATTTAGCTGCAGCTGCTGCTATTAAATGTATGTTGGAATGTTTATATGAACTGAGGTATGTATACATACATGTGTATAGTATTTGAAGTTCAATAAGAGTTGAAAAATAAGGCCAATATGGCTCAAAGGACAACATAAAATAAGAATCCGAATGAAGTTATTTATGAGGACTATAAGACACATTTAAGAGCCTCAAAAAAACTCTGAAACGATTCATATATGAGGCCAAAAATTGCTTTAAAAAGAGTCCAAAATGAGCCGTTTATGAAGGCAATAAGAGTCCAATATGACTCATTTGGAGGCTCTTTTGATGTCTGAATTTAAGCTCATATAAGTCGACCTTCGGAGGACGGAAAACACACTAATTTCGGGCTCTTAAATGAGCTCATTATGAGCGTAAAGGCTCCGAAATGGGACTCCTTAAAGACTCATTTATGACTCCAAATGTATATTTCATTGATATGTAGGTACATAGTATCTCTCGCTCATAGGGAAAACACTTATTGAATTTTGTTTTTCGTTTTGCGCATGCATTTTCTTTTTACTTTAAAATTTCAATACTTCACACAAATTAAAAAAAAACGTTTTTCTCGATAAGTCAATGCTGAAACCACACGCTTTATTTCCTTTTAAATAAATTTCTTTTTATTCCGCAAATTAGAAATTCGCTAGAAATGTAAATACATAATTAATTCCAAATGTCAATTCTTGACTCAAGGGATTGCTTCGAACTGTATCCGCTTAATTCACAGAACATGCTTTTCATGTGAGCGTTTTCAAAATATCTAATTAATTTGTATGTACAAAATCCCATAGTGATACACGAAACACAAAGAAATTTAAATAAATCAGTTTCTACCTACCGATTATCTTTTGACTTACGGATTCTTAGAAACACACCACTCTTGTAAGACACAAAACTCCGCGAGAAACGTTTAACCTCATATGTATCTATGTTCAAGACCGTTTTCACCATGATACAAAAAAGAAGGTAGTTTCAATAAACAACTTTTTGATTAAAAAGCAGATTTTTGACAATTGCTCAATTGTGAAAAATTCGAAGTGGCGTTACCCAATTGTAAGTTTTTTGGTGTGGGAGATTTTTTATCCTAAATTTGGGGTTATAAATAAAATAGTTGTGTTAATATTTACCTTTTAAAAATAATTAATATCCTATCTTAAAAATGTTTAAATTTTACATTAAATTCGATAACAACTTGCCAAATCATTATCATGAACATATTTTAAAATTTTTTTAGTGTCCTCATGTTATCTGATTATTTCACAATGTAGTTTTCTATATCGGATACGATGATTCTGATATAATTCAGACACTGAAATTATACATTTCGATGTGTTATTTAATACATATTGTCTTTGTCCATTTAACAGCAAATGGAATTTACTTTGGAACCCATGGGCCGTGAAATTTTTCAAGCAACACATATTGTTTTCACATGAAATTTTTACACACCCAAAAGTGAAGTATAAAATAAATAGATAAAAACAAATTTTCAACCAACCTGATTTGTGTAGT